CTGTTCGAAGGCGAGAGGGATTCCCTCCTGGAAGGACTGATATCAATCCCAAGCACCAGGTTAATGCCATCACAGTCAGGAGTGAAAAGGAGCTTAAAACAGTGCAGAAAAAGAGGTTGAGTGCAGAATAGATCGTGCAACTGATGGAGGCTGAAGATGAAATTTTGCAGTCTCAGAGGTGAGTGACGAACGTCACCAAGGAGGAGTGACGCTCGTCACCAACTTACAAGGGAATCGGGGGTTGTCACATGTGAGTGACGAGCGTCACCCCCCTGGTGACGATCGTCACCAACTCCAGAACGAAGCTGCTTCGCCTGTAAGTGCAGATAATGGCAAGGAACAAGCTTATAAACCCAAAACACCTTTCCCCAAGCATCCTAGGAAGTCTAAACAGGAGATAGAAGAAGCCAGATGCAAAGCTATGATTGACAAGCTGATGTTTGAGATCCCTCTTGTTGATGCAGTCAAGCTTTCACCAGCTCTAAGAAGATATGTAAAGAGAATGGTTGTGAATGGTGTAAGTCCTGAGGAAGGAACATTGCTTACCAAAGACATCAGTGCAATCCTCTTAGGTACAGTTCCAAAGAAGAAGAAGAAGGTGCCTGTTTCTGAACAAGTCAGTGCCATCATTCAAAGCAGAGTTCCAGAGAAGCTATCTGATCCAGGGACCTTTGTTCTTGATTGCTCAATCTCAGCAGGACGTTTTCCTCACTCTCTAAGTGATCTAGGGTCAAGCATTAACCTGATGCCTTCCTCTGTTGCTGCTAGACTTGGAATAACTGATTTCAAGCCAGTTGTGATCTCTCTTATCTTAGCTGATAAATCCATAAGGACCCCAGAAGGCATCTTAGAGGATGTTCCTGCTAACATTGAAGGCTGCATAATTCCTACAGATTTTGTGGTTTTGAAATATGTTGAAGAATCTAAAAATCCTCTTATTCTTGGAAGATCATTCTTGGCTACTGCTGGCGCCATCATTGATGTGAAAAAGGGGAAGATAGAGCTTGATTTGGGAGATGTTGTCATGAACTTTGACATGGATAAGTTAAGAGGGAGTTCTACCATTGGTGGTCAGACCTTTTCTGTAAGGACTTCCAGAGATGAAGAGCCTGTCATGGAGCATTCAGAAGACATTATTGATGGGTATGTCAATGAATCAGATAATAGAAGGCAAGAGAAGAAGTTGGTTGTTCAAGGAGCAATATCTGAAATTTCTGCCAAAGCTGTTGGGTTTGAGGATTGCAGTAAGGATCATATCTTCATGACTAGGATTGAAGAAGAGGTTCCAATGAATACCAAGTTGCTGAAGGAAGACGTGTTTGTGATGGAGGCAAGACTTGCAGAGCTGAATTGCGAAAAAGTTGCAGAAACTCGAACTGCAGGGTCAGTGATGACCGTCACTGACCTGGTGACACTCGTCACCAACCTGGACACAAAGGATCGACATGATCTTACAGCTACAAGTCCATATGATGTTGCCAAACCGAAAATTCAACATTCCACAACCCAGAAACCTGCAACTAAGCAAAGGTATGCACTTCCTGGAACCAGTTCCAAACCTCCTATTCTCATCAATAAGAATTTAAAAGGTTCAAAAGATGCTTCACACTTACGCAAGCAACGAGATTCTCGTATAATTCTTGGTGTTTCTTTTGATGATTCTGCAGGAGAAAAGAAGTATACCACCCACAGTCACAACCCACCCTGCTGATGTTCCTCACTTCCTTGGAAGAGTTCATGAATCTACTGCTTATAAACCACCATGGATGAGGAGACATTCTTCTCCAAGGTATTCAATGCTACCTTCTGCTCCACCAGCTGTTTGAGCAGCATTAAAAGTCAAGCTAATGACTTTAAACAAGCGTTTGGTGGGAGGCAACTCATTGGTAAGTTATCTAGCTATCATACTCTAGTCTATTTTCATTTTTACATTAAAAAAAAGAGTCAGTTTGTTCAGTTTGCTTTGAGGATGTCTTGTTAACTTGTTCAACCATGGATTATGCTTTGTTTGGATGTTTTTGATGTGTTTTTTGAATGCTCCAACAGTCTAACTTCGGAGTACACATGATGACACAATGTTTAAGCATCCAACTTGATGATTCTGAAGTATCAGACGTGGTGACGCTCGTCACCAAGCTGGTGACGCTCGTCACCCGTCCCTTCGCGAGGTACCACTTTTTCACCTTGGTTTTACAAGTTCTCATGCATCTTTTTGACCAACTCTTGGCTTGATAACACTGGGGACAGTGTTGTTTAAGTCTGGGGGAGGTGGTTACTGACGTTGTGTGCTTTGTGTCATGTTTATAGAGTCTTAAAGTTGAGTCAAAAACCTGTTTTTATAGAGTCAAAATTTTGAAACTGTCAGTTTTTTCTTGGAACTAACCACAAAACGTCTATGCTTATAAGAACCATTACCACAGTAGCTGATTACAAGTCTTACTAAGTTGAAAGTCATAGGTAGAACAGTCTAGCAATGAAGGTTTAGGTTCTTAGAGAATCTGAAAAATTTGCTGTTAGCTCCACCTTACTTCTTATCTTGGGGCTTGATTCTTATTGATCTTGATTCTCTCTTTCAGCATTGACAATAAGGTTAAGATACAGTCTCTCTTTGATCTTCCCTGATGTAGTTTTTAAGAGTTTAAATCCAAAGAATGGTGCATTTATGACCATGTCTCCTCACAAGGAACAACAGTAGTGAACACACTCAAGAACCTGTCTCCTCACAAAGAACACAAGTATTGAGTAGCACAATATCTTAGACTGTAAAAACTGAGAAAAGAAGTGAAAAAAGCAAAAAAAATCAGAAAGATAAAGATCAAGGGAAGAGAAACTAGGAGAGCTGTGTTGAGATTGCTTTGTTCAGTTGTTTAGGAGGGGAAAAGAATCTGTAAAGTGATTGAGATGATAAAATCTTGATAAGATATCACACTTATATAGACATAAGGAAATAGCAGCAGAGATTTCAGATTTCTTGAAGGGATTTGGATTGGATTTGAGAGATTTGCTAGGCTTGTGATGATTAGACTGAAATTTGATCTTTTGTTGACTCTGTGGTATGTGGATTCGAAAGTGTTAACTAATGTGGTGTTCCTGATGTTTAGCTGACTGTTTCTTGTTTTCAAACCTCGACCCTGTTCATTGTCTGATGTTTGCTTGAGGGCAAGCAAAAGCTAAGTCTGGGGGAGTTGATATGTCATGGTTTTTATGGTTTTTAACCATGATATAAATCCTTTTTATTGAGTCTTTTTGGTCTTTTTAGAGTCCTAGTAGAGTCTTTGCAGGTTAAAGCATGTCTGGAGCATAATTGGAGATATTGAAGCCTTTTGGAGCATTGCAAGTTGAAGCCACGAAGTGTCCAGCTCGGAGAAAAAAGTATGCATTTGGGTGATGCTCGTCACCCCTAGAGGAAGGGTCGTGGCTGGTTTCATAAAAGAACGAGCATTATTTGAAGTTTTAGCCCAGAAGTTCTAGTATTTGCAAAAAGGCCTCAGATGGTGTTTTAGCTTGTATATTAGGTTTTTTAGTCATTCTTTTGGCAGAGATCTTGTATCTTATTATTCTAGAGAACTTTAGAGAGAGATTTGTAAAAGAGCTTTTAGAGAGACAAATCACACTCCTTCAGAGCAGATTTCGAACTCCTTCATCTTTACTTCTTATTTCTTTTATGCAATCTATTCTTTTCATGATGTTTTCTCAAATCACCATGTCTGAGTAGTTTGTTAGTTAAGTTAGGGCTTTTTCAAAGGTTGATGAAGAATTTGTAGAATTGCTAAACTTACAGGAAATCCATTGGTTCTTCATATGTTCTTGCATTCAAAATCGATTTCTTAGACACATCATTTGGATTTCGAAACCCTAGGTTGGTTGATAGATGTGAGAGCATTATTAATCACCTGATCTAGCATTAGATGAGCAAAACGAACTCAGTGCAAAGAGATTTGGCTTAGGAGTTTTGTGAACAATTGAACCTGATCATTACTGCATGTTTAGGTTGTTAGGATTTACAAAGAGATTTGAAACTCTGAGATTTAGACATAGATAATTTCTGCAATGAGAATTGATTAGTTATATCTTTGTGATTCATATTCAAGACGGTTTTAATTCATTCCTGATTGCTTGCATTCTATACTCTCGGATTCAACCTGCGAATTGTCCTGACTTAGCGTCTTTAGCCGTCTGAACTTTAAGAACAAGCATCAAAACGCCCACTTGCATTACTTTAGTTATTTTGCATTACATACATTCATTATTGCTTAGCTTAATCTGAATCTGAAATCGTTAGTGTAGTTTACATACTCCTTTGGGATTCGATAACCCCTTGTACTACAACTACTTTGCTGTGCACTTTCAGTAGTTTTTTATCTGGGTAAAACCTGAGCCCTGTCAGCTGGACCTCGATATGGATACAGAGTTTGCAAAGCTGTTTCTTTGGCATCTTCGAACACGAGTTGCTTCCATCTCCTTCTCAACTCCAAAAATCTCCCAAAAATACCTAAAAGTCACCATAAATATGCATATGTATGTAGATATATGCATTCTTAAACTAAATGCATGCAAAATTGACTATAAGTACAAAGAAGTTTAAAATACTATACTATGATGCAAAACCAAGAAAAAAATTACATGAAATGCAGCCTAAAATACTATAATATAATAAGTTATCATGTATATAAAGTTTATCCGGTACAATTTTGATGAAGAAGAAACCTTTTTACAATTTTTAAAGGTTCACGAACTACTAACATAAATGCCCTTCAAAATTTAGATTCCGTACCCTCTATTAGTGTTGTTTAAAATTTGCAACGTCGGGACAAATTGTCAACTTAATAATGCGTAATTATTACAAATATCGTTGACAATTCAGTTCCAATTATTTGTCGATGGGAATGGAAAATGATATCCAACCATATTCAATCGATAAAACCAAGTTGAAATTTTAATTCTGATATTTTTGGTCCCGGTTCTTTCTTGAGAAAAAAAACGTAAAACTAAATTTCTTTGTCAATATTTTCATAACGGTAACATAAATATATTGAGAATAACTAAGAAAAATAAATACGCTAATATAGGCACACCATAACCTAGAAAAGAAATATATGTTTGGCTAATTAACACAAAAGCAAAGAGTAATTAATTAAATACATACAAAGTGCAGAGTTTATTTTTTGTTCAAAAATATGGGAAGCAAGCCCTATAAACACTCTAATAATAGAATTACTCCATTCTACACACATACATAGATATCATTAGAGAAAATGAGAGAATGTGCTGTTCATGAGAAAATTAGCCATTATCCGATGAGTCTTCTGTGTTGGATGAAATGAGTCCCAAAAGACGTACTTGTCTGCATTTGTACATGTAAATGGGTTATTCCTTTGGCAACTATATCCCATCTCGAACATCCCGGTCGCGCAACAAGCCGCTGCAGCAACCTCGAATCCGAAAGATGAAGGGTTCTTTACGATTCGCATAAATGGTTCATAGGGATTGGAGAAAACGAGGATAGAACCAGGAAGCTCTTTGCTCAGCTTCTCAACAAGCTTCTCAAGCTTGCCGTTGAACTGGACCGCAATGTCATTGAAGCGTCCAACACACTCACCTCCCGTGCCAATGTTTGTGGCTCTCTCTAAAGGCATGCATCCCATTGGAGGCAATCCACCTAGTGAGATCTTCCTAGCACCAAGCCCGTGCAACTTCTTCATAAAGTCTTTGGCGATTCCAGCTAGGAAATCTTGGTAAAGACCGACCGAGTATTGAGAAGAACGGCCAGGAAAAGCAAAATAGTTCTCGAGGAAATCGTTGGTCCCTATGCTTATGAGGTAGAGAGAGTTAGTTATGGTCTCTATGGCTCGGTCACTTCCTTGGTATGCTTTTAGTTTTGTCTGGTATTCTTTGTAGTATTCGAGTTGTTTCCATAGAGGTAGAACCGACTAGATCACCATCAATGGAATGCAATTAATAAATATAAAATATTTTAAAAAATAAAAATTTAAGATATATAAAAACACCTCGTTGTAGACATTATTTTTTAATATTTACAAACTGGTTCTCAAAATAAATAAATAAAACTTACAGGCGAATTTATTATTAAGAAAAAAAAGTGTTATCCATTTTAATTTTATTTCATAATATATATATATATATATATACACACACAGAATTTTTAAGCATAAAACACAAAGATTTATTAGATTTGATTTAGAAAAATGATATTAACGTACTTGCTAGCTTGATCATTTTTCTCATTATATATTATTTTATGTAATCTCATTAATCATACATGCTTCTTTTTCTTTGACAACAGTCACACATTTCTTCTTTTTATTTGTCAATACCAATCATAAATGTCTACAACGACGTGTTTAATTATGTAACATACCAAATAGTATATGTAATAAATACAAAGGAAAGAAAAGAACGTACCAGAACATCAGAAGTGGCGTTGTCATAGCCGGTAGCAGCAGAAGCAAAGGTGACACCTGTCGCAAAATCTGAAATGTTGTAAGAAGGATCCAAGTATGCCGGAATTATTGGTTTAAGCCCTATCGCTTCCGACATAAAGTCAGTCGCAATCTTTCCGTTACAAAACCGACCGGTCGGCTTTCCACCAACAAAGTCCCGTCCATATGGCTCAAAGTTGCTTCTTGCGACCGTTGGGATATAATTGTTGTTACCGGCGTCAACGGATGAGTCACCGAACACAATGATCGCCGGTATTTTACCGGCAAATGTTGCGGCCGGCGACGACATAGTTATCATGAGGAATATAAGTGTGAAGAGACTTTTGAGGTGTCCCATAGTGTTATTTTTTCTCTTGTGGTTTTGATTGTGATGTTGTGTAATTCCATGAGCTGTCTCTCTTTATAAGAAAAACATGAGTGTTTGAAATGTGGTTTCATTAAATAAAGAGAGGTTTGTTGTGTGTTTCAATTAATGCTGAGAAATTCTGGTGAGACATTATTATTTTCAGCACGAATAGTTGTTTGTTCGTTTGCCGCTCCATCAATACTACTCTTTTACCGTTGGACTTCTTTTTGATATTCACTCTCTATAATTTTCAGTCATATGGTAATAGTGATATGCCCAATTTGGAAATATTGATTAATTTATTATGAAGTTAGGTTTCAGTTTATGAAAGGAATGATGTGTCGACCCTAAATGATATATTTTTAGTGGATTAGAGGGTCTACATAACTGATCCCATCAGATCGAGTTGGTTCAAACGTTGAAAAACGTTTGAGATAATGTTTTGGGTTTTAAAAGAAAACTAGATTTTGACCCGTGCATTTTTTTTTATAAAATATTTTTGGATCATAGCAAAAATCGGTTTATAGTAAACTTTTGTTCAAAAAAAATTAGTTTATATTATTAAATCTAAAATTGTGGTCCAAAAGGAATTTTTTATCAGATTATATAAACTATTTTAACATTATGGTTTTATGTTCTTAAAATTATTCAGGCTTGATTTTATAAAAGAAATATTTTGATTAGCGGATTTTTTGTTAAATTTTGTATAAAATATTTTAAAATATTATGTTTTATAATGCAAGAGAGATTTTATTTGTTTGTAATTAAAATTCTTAGGCTTTGTTTATTTTTGCCTCGAGATACTTATTTGGATGCAAATGCTCTCAAATATTGTTCTTTTAAATATTTTTAAATCAGTATATGAATATTTTTTCTGAATACAAATTCTATAATATCTCAGGTTTGGATATTTAAAATGCTAAAAAATAGAGATTTGATGCAGTATTTGAATATAAAAAATTAACAGATAAAAATTAAGTTTTAATTTAAACCACAAAACAAGTTTTGTTTTTGTCAAAACTATTTTTTTCTATCGAAATAAAAAGCCACAAAATCGTAAAATCACGTTGTTGTACCAAAACCGAAAATTCTGGTGGAAACTGTAAAAATAGCATTTTCCATCAAACTATATTTTCATGCCAAACTGTAAACCCACATTTTTTAACAAAACCAAAAATTATGTTTTCCCCCAACATTATAAAACCGTATTCTATGGCTAAATTTCTAAAATTAAGTAGTTTTTGTCAAACCTGTAAAATTGCATTTTGTCGTCAAACCCGCAAATCTGCATTTTAAATAAAATCCATAAAACCATACTTTTCCATCAAAACCTATAAAACCCGCAAAACATGTAACCCTCGTAAAGTCTGCAAAATCACCTTTCCCATCAAATCTACAAAACTCGTGTTTTTCGTAATATTGTAAAATTCATAAAATTGTGTTTTACGGTCAAATTTCTAAACTCATGTGTTTCCGCCAAACTCACAAACCTGCATTTTTCTGTATGACTATTTTTTCTCGCTAAAACTTGTAAAATCCATAAAATCCGCAAAATTGCGTTATTCGCATTTGCAAACTCGTGTTTTCCCGTAAACCCCGTAAAATCTGCAAAATCGTTATTTACGATCAAATTTCAAAAATTATGTGTTTCTGCTAAATCTACAAAAGCACATTTGTTGTCAAACCGGCATTTTTTCGGAAAACTATATTTCCCGCTAAAATTTATAAAACCTGCTAAAATTTGTGAAATCTATAAAATCTACAAAACTGTATTTGTCAAATCCTCAAACCCATAATTTTCCGCAAAAAAAATCATTAACAAACTAGAAAAAAAAATTATTTACATAATATTTTTTTCATAGTATGTATATATGTAACCAAAAAATAATGATTATATATTCATCATTGACAACAAATTGTCACATTTAGTAAATACCATAATAATTTTTAGACATTTTAAAGTAGTGCTTTTTTCTTTTACTATTATAGAGAAGAAATTGATTATAATATAATATATATTTAATTTATCATATAATATATATAATCATATTAGTTATTCATGCCATATATATGTGGTAGTTATGTTAAGGTATTATGAACGATTTTGAAATAATTTTAAAATTAATATAATTTGAATTTTATTAATATCAGACATAATTTATTGATATTATCTATTAATAAACTAATATAATATAATTTAATTAATGTATTTATTAACAATTTAATGATAAGATTAAATTACGTTTAATGAATCTATAGAAATTTAATGGCATATATTGTAAATAACACAGTAGCTTAATGTTAATTTAACAGTTTCTGAACAATCAACGCATCATTGTCTAAAGATTCATCCAAGAATCTAAACTATTAAAAGAGGATCATTGCTATAAAATATCCAAAGTGTACCGTGGTATTTACTTTCTATGTCATTGGGTTTGCTAGACTTTTTTATATTTTCATTAAGGGTAATTCCGACTTATTATTGCACTACTCATTCTTATTCTAATTAATTCATATTCTAATGCGATATACATCTAACTAATCATATATCATTCATATTACATTTTTTTATAAACCGATGCAACTCTCTAACCGGTTTCGTAAACACAGGTTATATGTCAAACCATCCAATGCCTTCTTCTCGAGCATCATATACTTTCCCTGCATTCAAATAAAAGTTGAAAGATCAACTGCAAGTAAATATAATGTATAGTTTCATCAGACAACTATGAAATATCAGGCACCATTCGTAAATTTTATATTTACGAATCTAAATCCCAGTTCAACTTATATTGAAAATGTATTATTATCAACTACGATTGCAGTATACTGAAAGTCGAATGATATATCTTAAATTTATGATATGATAAAGATATGCGAATGATCAATTAGATGAAACCATTTATAAGGTTATTCACTACATATAAGCCGGTTTGAAAATCATGTAAATTCAAATGGTTTACATCTAAAACTAATATAAAACCACATAATTCTATATTCTCGGCATATTATTAAGAAATATTCGTTTTAGATGTACTTTACATATGTAATGATCTAGCATAGAAAATCCTGGTAAATCTATAAATATTATCGTATTAGAAATCCCGGAGATCAATGATTTTAAATAATAACTACACAAATCTTTGAAAATACGAATAACAATAAAATATGGTATATTCTGATACAGTTTTAGCAATTAGTTAAGAGTTGAAAATATTCTTTCAAATCTTTCGTTCCATAATCATCATAGCATACAGTCAATTACTCTAACTAACTAGATATCAGAATAAGATATCGTAATATATCCTTCCAATAGGTACTCCTCTTATATATAGTCTTAACTAATTCTAATTAAAATATCAGTTTCTCTATCACAATTCTCGCAAAATGAGTTCTCTAATTGCTTTCACTAACCTGGCCAATGTCAAACCATTCAAGTCATCTTGGCGAATCCGCGTGAAAGTCCTGCACTCATGGAAGCAATACACCGTCCAGTCAGGACAAACATTGGAGCTTATTCTTGGAGATGAAAATGTGAGTCTATGTTTTTTTGTAAACTGAACACAAAATGGCGTATTGCAAGTTTTATATATGATCTAATATGAAATCACGTTACCTTCTGTAGGGTACTTTGATACACGCATCGTGTAAGAAGACATATGTGAGCCGTGTTGAACGGTTGGTTCCAGTAGGAGAATGGAAAGTCATTGAAAACTTCTCCTTGACATCTGCATCTGGTCAGTACCGTCCAACTAAGCACAATTACAAAATATCATTCACAGACAACACTACGATCACTAAGTGCAGTGTGAAACACAATGATGACTTTGTCAATCTCGTGGATTTTGGCACTATTCTAAGTGGAAATCTTAACCACAGTTTCTTGGTTGGTAAGTCTTAATAAATTGTTTTCTTCCTATTTCGTTTACATCTTACAATGAATGTTGGTTTAATGATATGGTTATGTAAACCAATATTTTCAACTAACTCAATGTTTCCTATTTTAATGTTACAGACGTGCTTGGATAAGTCATTGACGTCAAGGATATTGAAACTGTTCAAGTCAATGGGAAGGAGAGGAAAAAGATTGAATTTGAGCTACGAGATACTAAGTAATCTATCTTCTTAACCTTACATTTTCTGGAGTCTATAATAACTTTTTATCGTGTACATATTTCATTGCAACTTACTACTAATGATTTACTAATTAGACTATACTGTTCTTCATTTTTATAGTGACGATCGAGTGTCATGTTGTTTATGGGAAAGGTGTGCTGATCAACTTTGGACAAGTTGTCAAGAAACAACTGGTAAGGTTGTCATTTGCCTTATCAGGTTTGCTAAAATTGGACATTACAGAGGTAATATTCGAAGGACTGACCTTTGTACATCTTGGACCAAAGAAGTTCGTATTGAGTGAATTTTACGATCTTCTATGTAGGCAAACTTCAGATTACAAATGCTTTCGAGACATCCAAGCTAATGATGAATCCTGCTATACCTGAGGTTGCAGAATTCATGAATGCGTAAGTGTTTATAAATCATATTGCATGCTATGAATCCTCATATATCATCAGAAGTTTACATTACCTTGAGTTAAGGTTGTCATTTGCATTTAATTAAGTATCTGAACGCTATGGCCATTTGTAGATATTTCGGTTTCCCAGATCTGTTCATTACATTCACGTGTAATCCTAAATGGCCTGAAATCAGTAGGTATCTAGAGAAGCACAATCTCAAGCCTGAAGATAGGCCAGATATTATTTGTCGTATTTTCAAGATGAAGCTTGATTCTCTAATGCTTGATTTAACAGAGAAGGCCATGTTAGGGAAAACTGTTTCGTGTAAGTTATTCAGCTATGCCATTGTCTATTGTGTTTGTAGTATATTTTGTTTGGACTATCTAATGCTATTTTTTCATTTCGCAGCAATGTACACCATAGAATTTCAGAAATGAGGTCTACCACATGCTCATATTCTTCTATTCATGCATCATAAATGCAAGTTTCCAACCACTGACGATATTGATAAAATTATTTCTGCTGAGATTCCTGATCGTTTTACTGAACCCGTTCTATTTGAAGTGGTTAAAGATATGATGATTCATGGACCTTACGGTCAGGTTAA